CCTGATGTTTGATGATGCTAAATTGTAATAAATAATCAGTGTTGATGATAGCCTGATGTTTGATGATGCTAAATTGTAATAAATAATCAGTGTTGATGATAGCCTGATGTTTGATGATGCTAAATTGTAATAAATAATCAGTGTTGATGCTATATGATACTCAAATTATGCTGGATCATAGTGGGTGATAATTCGAACTGGTCTTGCTTAATTATGGTAGATGATCAAGCTAAATTATGAATCAGAACTTTTTCGGGTAGACACATATATGGCTATAGCGTCCCAATTTTTAGCCTTTTCAATGAAGCTGGTTGCGTTTACAGCGAATGAAAAGGAAAGAACACATATGGTAATCACTTGCCTTTTGTACAAGTTTCAGTGTCTTTGCCAGAGAAATATCTCGACATACTGACAAACCATATGTCTCCAGCTCTTCTAAGTGAACCAAGGTATCAGCTATGACCTCGTGATGTGAAAAACGATCAAACGACCACAATGAGAATTTTAAACTTTGTAACAAAAGATACCGTAGTGGTATGGTAAATTCGAAGAATTCCTGGAACTCGGGTGAGGACGTTTTGTACACGGCTGATTGACATGGTCTGTCTTTCTGTGGAAACAAATTGATTATTATGTAGTAATTTATTTCATTTGCTTCATTGTTTGGTAAATCCCGTGCCTTGAGCAATACAACGACGAGGACCGATCTGTAAAAGAAATTATATTTGAAGTGTATTGTAGATGGAAATTGTCGAGTGGAAATTTATATATATTAGACCTAACCAGGAACAGAAAAGAAAAATGCAACTTTAGGTCCCTGGCAGGAATTGAACCTGCGGCCCTGCGATTCCGGTGCAGCGCTCTAACCAACTGAGCTACAGAGGCCAGTTGTCGAGCTCTAACCACAAGTTCTGCATGTATATATACTAGGGTACTGCCATGCACAGGTTATGGGTAAATATCAAGATTTTTGTGGTATCTCACGCGAATGAATAATATTTGATGGGTATTGTAAATGGAAATTGTCAAGTGGAAATTTACATACATTTATTACACCTAACCAGGAACAGAAGCGAAAAATACAACTTTAGATCCCTGGCAGGAATTGAACCTGCGGCCCTGCGATAAATGTATATACGTTTCCACTCGACAATTTCCATCTACAATACCCTTAAAATATTATTCATTCGAGTGAGATGTCTCAAAAATCTTAAAAGAAATTATAAAATGCAACTATATGCCCTCTGGCATGAATCGAACTTGCCATCCTGCGATTCCGGTGCAGCGCTCTCAGCAACTGGACTGTGTAGTGAGGTTGGTTTGGAGCACCGCACCAGAAGTACATGGCCACAGGTTCGATTCCTGCCAGGGGGGTATAATTGCATTTCTAGCAACTGCTCCTGTTTAGGAAAATCTACAAAAATCTCTTTTGAAAGTGCCCGCTGTTTGAAAGGCTGCAAATGTAACTTTAATTAGTTTAATTTGCTTTTTACACATGAACAGTAATAAAAATCTTGTTGGCAACATGGACCCTCTAAATATATACTTGAATATTGTACCTCGTCAGATCATATCGCAGGTTAACATAAAGTGTTCCAGCATAATTCTGACTACAATCACTAGGTAATTCATCGTCTTCAATAACCTGCAGTAAAATAAATATGCATGTCCTCTCAACTTTATACACTGTTAAATCGTCGGCAATAGACAGCCAAAATATTATATACTTTACAATCTACCCTAGTTAGTGAAACCTAGCCAAGGACAGACCATATCACTACTTTCATGGTTTACACTGCCTCAGATGCAACTCATGACTTACTCTTCATAGGCTGGTATACACTATCTCAGTAAGTGTACTTGATCAAACATTCAAACTGAGTGGCCATCTAGACTACTTTCAAAATCCCGTTCTTTTTGCGTTAAACGAACGAGGATCAAACGTGGATGAGGTCGTCAGATTTAGATTAGGGTTAGATGAGTGTCAGATTAAGATTAGATTAGGGTTAGGGGTTAGAGTCGGCGTTAGCGATATAGGGTTCAAATTAAGGCAATGAGAGCGCTTTTTGACAATTACTAGACATGGCCTTAATTTTGGGAAGAGATCATGCTGCCCATTAACATAGCGTATAACTGCTAATTGTCAAGCATTGTGAACCAGCTTTTAGATAGTAAGGAATCTTTAGATAAGGCCCCAGATAAGGAAACCAGGTCAGAATGGAATTATTACCTTTGGTATTTGATTAAATAGCTCAGGTTGAATGAATGATTCTGATAATGTTCCATATGGAAACTCAGGTAATAGAACTATGTGAAACTTTGCTGCACTTTTCTGCCATATTTTGTCAGTTGCATGACGACGGTTTTTGTAAACTCTGCCGCCATTCACATTGATTCTTTTCCCAGCAATTTTAACCAACATGTACAAAACTAAAGCAAACACTACAATAGACAGTGCTATAGCTATTTCATGAGTTTGGTTGAGTTTGGTTCCCATTGACTCACGGAGCTGAAAGAAAAAGTACATTCAAATAATATACTGATTAAACAACAAGGGATGTAAAATTATAACCAAATTGTATCGAATAAAGTCTGTACAAAGGTTCAATATAATGATGAAAACGATCCGTATGCTTAATGAAATTGCTGAAATTGCTGAAAACAATCAATATGATTAATGGAATTGGTTGAAATTAAAGATAGTCAATGTATAGCACATGATGGTCAACTCTATAAGCCGCATAAAAGGAGATACAGTTATCAGACTGACTAAATTGTTTACTATTGACCTTGTATATGGTGGCAAATACATGTAATGGCATTATTTGCTCGCTCACATAATCCATGTCAATACTGGCCTAATGTTAATTTGTTCACCGTGTGTAGCTGGCATAGTCGCCATACAGTTTTATAAGACATACAACACTTAAGAAAGTTGAAAGAAAGTTGTTTGTGCGACCTGCTTAACTCTGTTTAAAGCATCTAACTGTGGTATCCAAATGGATCCAAATCATTTCCTGCAAATTTATTCCAATCGGAAATTAAACTTAAGATCTCTAGTTCAACGTAGCAGCGCTGTGATTACTGAGATGCGCGGTGATCGCTGCCCGATTTGAACCCCACAAGCTGCTATTCCTACTCTCTTGAGGACATCTAGCAATGCTAAAGATCAATGCAATTCAGTAGCGTAGCGTAGAGTCTAGAATCTGCTTTTACTGCCCACGTTATCATGCGTAACTAACAATATATATTGAACTTGTCACGGATGGCAATCCAAGCTGAACTTTGCGAGTAGCATGGCACATGCAGGATAAACTAGTGAACTACCTTCACATTAATGTCTGTCAACTTCTGTTGGCAACCGTAAATGATTTGATGGATATTGTGACAATCTCATCTATGGTGATGTGCCTGTGATCTCTCTCTTTCTTTGGTGTTCGTTTCCGTTATAGTTGATCACATGCCTGACAGATAAAACTTACTTGCCAAGTGACTGATTGTGCATGTACACTGTCACTGGCGTATTGAAACATTTTCATGATCAGAAAATTTCCACCTTACGAAATGGATATGCTTATCCCGCTTGTACCTAAAAGCCAATCACTTAACATTTCCTACCTTTTGCGCATCCCATTCACGTGTATAAGTCACGAAAATCAAAGAACAAATATTTAGTGGTTGTGTATAACGTCCTTAAATATTGTACAATGAAATGAATGAGCTATAAGTAGTTACGAGTTGACTGAATTAGTTTGCTACCCGCATCGTCATTGGTTAGTATTGGCCTGTGGTACTTAACACGCATTGATCTATCATTCAGTATGTTGATGCTTGCATCACTTTATATATAAAATGTGGATACGATATATAGTTTTTTGTCTTAACATTTTTGTTACAATGGAACATAGTATACGATATCTTGACAAAGATAAGGCATATATTGAAAATTTAACGAAGAAGGAAAGGAAACTTCCAAGTTCCGACGATTGCATGTAGTACCTCAGCTATGGATAGCTTGGCGTATCAGTACTGTTTCTAACGCCACCTAACCAGCTAAACTAAACTTTATTTAGATTTTTATCACTTTTGAACCGTTCTCCTTGGAGGTCATAAGAAAACGGATTGACTGAGAATCAAATTGGAAGCACTTGGTCTGTATTGAGACGAATTTATGATCAGAAAACTGCGTTTTGCACGAATCGAAAACTGACACAGTCATGCCTTAAGGCAGCGCTGTATCCAACATCCCATAATTCATATTTTGGACCGAAACAACAACCTCTTTCCCTTGTCAAAACGGGAAAAAGCCTTTGGAACGAGATTGCCAAACTAGTTATTCTGCATGTCATCATTCATTCATTCTTTTTATCACTGAAATGAACCAGTTGAGTTTAAGCCTGGTTTCCATATGGTCGTAACTGTCGCGAACGTGTTGTAACTGTCGTCAGAGTAGTGTTCGCGACCAAATGGAAACATCTTGTCGCGACACGCTGCCGGCAACAGTTCACGACAGTTACAACAGTGTCGTCGAAATAGACTCGCGAGTTCTATCTCGACAACAGTTGCCGCGACAGGCTAAAAACGTGTCGTGACGGTTATTTTTTAATGGAAACAGAAAAAACGACAGCGTGGCAACAATTTTGCGACAATCAGGGGAGGCAAAGGTCTTCTTTGGGGGGACCGTGTTTGTCTTTTTAAAACTGCCGCCAGCTGCTTGTACGATCCCTGGGTACGAAATTAACTTGCGACAGTTTATGACTGTCACGTGGCAGTCACAACCATACGGAAACACGCATAAAAAGCATTCACGACAAACACTTCACGACACGTTCGCGACAGTTACAACCACATGGAAACCAGGCAATCTCGTTCCCCGAGCCTGCGATCCTCTGGAAGGAACGCGAGGCTCTGGGATAATCCGTTTCAGGGAGGAATCTGATTGGCCGTTGAAATGAATGCGTAGTTCAATCTTAGCTAGGATTCCTGGCTTCCGGCAACGGATTATCCCAGAGCCTCGCGTTCCTTCCCGAGGATCGCAGGCTCGGGGAACGAGATTGGGAAACCAGGCTTAAAGCATACAGCAACCTCGTACCCAGGGTCCTCCTCAGCTCGCGCGCCACCACGAGGAAGACCCTGGGGACGAGGTTGAGTATACAGCTAATTCAATTAAGGTTGTCTCTGAATGTCAAAAACACCGACCTTTTAGCGCAAAAAGCACAATGGGCGTGTTATCATTATGAGACTGTTTATGCATGCATGATAAGACTAATTGTTATGTTTTGCTAATCAATTATACGTCTAATATTTATGCTAATCGATGTTCATAAACAACTTTTCGGAAACGTTTAATAAAAAGTTTAAAAATATTCTGCCAAGTTTGCTTCTCAATTGGAATGGATTAGACGGGCGAATAATATACGAAATAGGTGAAACTCATAGGAATTCGTAAACTATAAATCGCTTTTTTTCGCGCATAGAGGCCAAGGTTTTCCTGTTTTAAGTTTTCACTTTGAAAGGACAACCTTAATTAAACGTCGCGCTTCTCATGTGCCGAACGCATTAAAAACAATAGATAATCAGCTGAAATGCATCATCATCTATTGTTTCTAACGCGTTCGGCACATGAGAAGCGCGACGTTTGAAACATGCCTAAAGCCTGTTCTAAACGTCGCATTTTACATGCGCCGAATGCATTCAAAACAATGGATAATGAGGCATTTCAGCTGATTATCTATTGTTTTGAATGCATTTGGCGCATGTAAAATGCGACGTTTAGGACAGGCCTAAGCTCTACTGTATATAATGTACAGGGTGTATAAAAAAAAGGAGACCTTTAGAAATCAAGCATATTGTTAAAATTTGAATGCCTTTTCAATTGCAATATGCTAAACAGTGGTGCGTGAAATATTGATATATTAGTGCATATATTAGAAAAAGGAGACCTTTAGAAATCAATCATTGTTCTAATTTGAATCCTGGAGCACTTTGCGAAGCCCACGAGTGCGTAACATGCGATCGACGTACATTATGCATGGCAGATTGTTCCCAGGAGCAGACAATCTTTTGTTTAAACGTTATTTCAAAGGTCTCCTTTTTCTACGGTTCTAGGAACTACGGTTCAGCATATGTGCAATTGAAAAGGCATTCAAATTTTAACAATATGGTTGATTTCTAAAGGTCTCCTTTTTTTATACACCCTGTATAACACTAACACTGTGACATTAACAGGTTCAGTATTACAATGAACTCAACTAACAAGCGGACCGATGGCCTATACGGTTATTTATTTATAAACTTTGCCGTTTACAAAATTTACACTAGTACAGAACGGCACAGGAACGTCAACACAGCGTACGCGTAGGCCAATTACGTTGACGACCTGGTTTAACAAGTACAAAACACATATTAACATGGCTGCAGAAAGTAGGAAGCAGTGGAGCGACGCTACCTCCAAAGTCTAAAGGGCTAACTCCAAACCAAAATATACACTTGAGTAACTTGTGTAATTCAAAATTAACTGAGTTGAAATATGAATTGTGAGGTTACTGGCTAACTCCAAAAATTATTTGGAGCTAAGTACAACTCCAAATATCATGAAAAAGCTAGATATCTAAGCCTACAGACTAAGCCTTGAGTTTCGGATTTTCCATATGAAGCCCCTAGCGGCACACTTGGCATTTCGTTCAGAGATTAAATTTTGATCTGCAGTTGCGGCGCAACCCATTCTCGTACCCCTTGACCCTTGTCATGCTATTGACCACGTGTTTGACGGGCTCTGGCTACGAGAATGTGGCAAAGCCTAGCTCCATTTGAAGATTGGCTACCTCAACGAAAATAAAATCTACAGGTATGACACATAATGCACAGCTTAACACACAAATTAACGACTTTATCTGAGTAGACGTGAAATTCAAGCTAATACACCCTTTTCATAAATGGATGCCGATTAAAAATTCTTTTATTTGCATATAAATTGGCCCAACTAGCCTCGTACTCATGTTAAGATTTCAAAGGAATTTCTACCCAGAAACGAGGCTAGTTGGGCCAATTTATATGCACATAAAAGAATTTTTAATCGGCAGCCATTTATGAAAAGGGTGTATACAGTTTCTCGATTATCTAAGGACCCTCGCGTTAAAAGAAATAGTCTACGAGTATGTATCTTCATGGAAGTGCTAATTCTCTATTCTTTAACATTGTTCCATCGTCCCGGAAAGACGTCCGTCTTGTAACTGCGTGTTTATGGCTGTTTTCCATTGCGCTCGCTTTGTTCACAATGGATCATGTGACAAACGAAGCAGTTTGAACATGTGCATTGTGGCAGTTCGATTCATTTTGTACCATTGAAATGAATATAACTGGGACGTTACCTCCAATCGGAAATTGACGTTAAACTTGAAGGCCAGTCCCAGTCTTTTCACGCATGCGAAGAGCGCTCAATCAGTCAATCATGATATAAACACGCGGGTCAGATTTGGCTTCAAGAAAAAGACAGGCAGTTTATCTAAAGGTAGTGTTCCAGTTATAATCATTTCAATGCTTGCTTTGTACGTTGTACAATTTACCGTGACGTCAATTTACCGTGACGTCATTGCAATGGGACGCTTGTCTCGACGCGATCGATCGCAATGAAAAATGATATGGTTCGAACTATTTTATGCCAGGGTTTATTTTAAGAAAAATTTAGAACTGCACATATTAGGGATGTTATAAAGCATCACGGGTTTGACTGGGGAGTCAAAGGATTTTTATCTATATTTAAGTTTGTAAATTTATAGTTAACTTGTAAATTATGATAGACTCTTAATTTGTATATAGGTGGCAGAATAAAAGTGTGGTTGGGTGAAGCCAGAAAAACTTGATTCTCGGTGGGGGAGCTACAGGTAGGGAGTGTCCCCCCAACTTTGAATTTAAAGCTAGCCTCGTAAGTTCTGGCAAAGATTTGCTTCACCCAACCACCCACAAAAACTGTTTCAAAACATGTAACTGGCAACATGAATACTCAATATATATTAATAACCTTAGGCAGCAAAGAATATTAGGTTCTCCCACTCTAATCTCTTTTGGATAGCTTCGCTCGCCCCAATTTTACATCCTGTTCCATTACCCCAGCACGTATGTGATTTGTGAGGAAAATATGAGGGTCTGGTAGTCCTCTCCCAGAAAACATTTAGATTTTTGATGCTCAATGACAGCATTTCTGGCATTTGGAGCATCCACAAGGAAAACGAGGAAATTGGAGAAAACTATTTTGGGCAGCCTAGTCCCAGGCTCTCTCTATTCGCTGCTTTGATATATTTAAATAAGTCTTAAAAGTTTTATGCCTGGGTGTGCTGTGCGGAACGCTTCAGCGAGAGAGCCTAGCAGATTTCGGTAAAATGGTCCCTGATTTCAAAAAGTGGTCCCTGGCCTGGTTACCAAGCATACCGCATTTGTAAATAGAAAATGTTATGGATATTTCCTTTGCGTTTATATTAATTAAGTCATTAGTTTTGCTCTAATGCTGTCGGAACAATGAAATACGCTACGTTTC